TCACAGATTTTGCACAAATATTTTATAATTTCTCACAATCTATATTGATAATTTTACCAAAACGCTTCGCAACCCTAAGACGATTTCGTCGCCTCTTGTTTGGGTTGCGAAGCAACCCTTTACAATCGATTTTGCCAAATTTTATTTTCATATTTATATTGAAAATAAATTCATATTTATTTTGTTTTATATATTCATGAAAATAAAATTTGTCAACTACAGTATACCCTTCCCATACTGTATGCATGTTGAGCAGTTTTGAATACTGTACTGTTCATAGTGCATTAAACCATATGATTTCTTTGCAATTGTTTAGTGTAGATTTGCTGTACTGTTTGCATTATATGTTACTGTTAGATGATGTTGTGTAATGATAAAGATATGCATGCATAATGCATAAATGATGCTATACAATGCATAATGCATAGAATGATGCTATATAATACATGTGATATGTCATGAATGATGCGCATGCACATGATAAAATGCGTGACAGTTAACAACCCAAAAACTAAGCTACCGCCATCCCCTGCCTAGCATGGGGGGGAGGTCAATAGCTTAGCTTTTGAATAATCAACTACCACATGAAACAACACAATCTGTGAAGTCTAAAAACGAGATCAACCTACCAAATCCAGTTCAAGTGAGCGTACCCGTTCGAGTGTAACTCAATGAACCTTTGGGAAATGATAGAATTGATTCTCATTTCTAAAAAACCACAGACATGCATTGTTAATGATGAATGCCACACATACGGACACATACGCACGCAATCAGACAGACACACGTACACACAGAAGCTCAGAACAAGCCAATGCAAAAAGAACTTACGAAGGAAAAAAAAAAAAAAACACAGAAGATGCAAAAGATCACTACCAAGCAATACAACACAATGAGACCTAATCGCCACAAATGTGATCGTTCCTCCTTTAAAAAGGACCTTCAATTCCCAAATGGTACAGCAAAGCCTCTGAAAAGTAGGAAATAGGGAAACGAAAGGGGGGAAATGGGGAAGAGAAGTTGAGGGGATATAGATGGCGACTTTGAGAAAAAAACACCACAAGCTTCTTCATAAGTACTCCTGACAGCCTGTAGGAAGCAGCAAAGCCTCTGAACATAAAAAAAAAGGGGGGGGGGGGAGGGGTGGTGGGGGGAAGAGGGGGGGAGAGGGGAAGATTTTATTCTCGTCCAATAAACAATCAAATAAGAGGAAGGCTTAGGACAAGGACGATGAAAGCAAGGAGACGGCGGATATACAAATGAAAGCAAGTAAAAGGTCAAAGCAAGTAATATAGACATAAAAACGTTAAGAGGGCAGAATGGGTGGTGAAGACATCAACAGAATATAACAGTAATACTACTTACCAAACAAAAGGAAACAATAATGACAAGAAGAAGAATACGCAAGAGAAGAGAAGGAACAAGATGAGGATGAGAGGGGAGTGGTAAAACAATCAGCAAAGAACGCAACAGAAAGACATAACGAAACGATTAGACAATGTTGGGAAATGAAATGAAAGCGTAGAAGGGAAAGAAAGAGTTGAGACAAAAGGAAAGCAAGGATAAGAAAGGTTAAGAAATGAATCAGGGAAAATCTGGAGGGCACGTAAGATGGAAAAGAAGTAAGATGGGAAGAAAAGAGAAAGGGAATTGCAGAGAGAAAGGAGAAAGTGCAACAGGTAGGAAGGAGAGACGCAAGAACACAAGAAAAGACCGGATAACGCTGAAAGTTAACGACTATACAAGGAAAAGAAAAACTGACTGTAAAGAGAAGGGAACAAGAAGGAATCACGAACGAAGTGAAGAAAACATGTATGGAAATAAAAGATTTACTACAGCAGGAAGTTAAAAGAAAATGAACGGATAGACGTTAAATAAAGAAAGCTGAAGAGCACGTAAGAATGAAAAGACGAAATCATTACAAGATGGAAGGAAGAAAAGTTCAACGAAGTGAAAGAGAGAGAAAACAGTGAGAAAGAGAGATAGAAAACTTCATGCAGAAATGAAAAAGAAAGCGAAATTTTGAAATGGAAAAGAAAACAAACGGATGGAATGAGGCTAAGGTAGGTAGATTACAGTCAATGGCTTGTACTAAACAAATCGACTTAGTTAAATAGGACGAAATGGCCAGCAGGCCTAAATCGACATATGTTAAACCAAGATCTAAGTCGACCTAGGTTGAATCTAAGTCGACCTAAGTTAGAATTAAGTCGAACGACTTTAAGCTGCAAGTTAGGAGCTTACCTAGTGGAAACTCCCGTAGATCGTCGGCTGAAGGAGAGGAAGTAGGGGAGGGAGGGTGGATTGCTCCAAGCAGGACAAGGAAAACGAGGAAAGAAACCAAACCATAGAACATTCCCTATAAACGACTGTGAGAAGAGATCTACACATGTTAGCCTAGCTCGTATTCATCTAACTTAAAACTACCTGATAGGTTAGGGTTTGTTCTCACCTTAGTAGAAACTTGAATTAGTTGGTGGGAGCTCAGCTAACAAGAGAGAGGGAGAAAAAGGGTCGATCAAACCCTAGGAATGTTTCAGATTCGTCGCACTGTTCTGTAACAATATCTTTTCGTTGACATCGAAAGTTAGAGGCATTGGCCCAGTCGTTAGTGTGCGAGTCTGTGATCAGAAAGCCGCGGGTTTGAATCCCATGTGTGCATATTTTCGATTCTTTGCCTAGGTATGCCAATTGAGTGTCATACTATTGTGTACAGTTTCTGAGGATGTACAATTCACTAAATTGTACTTACCATTGCAGAAAGAGCTTCGCAACCCTAGGAAGACCTTGTCGCCTCTTGTTTTTTTTGGTAGGTGAAAGTGCATTATTACAACGTACAACGCAAAAACACCGTCGGTCATAACCGTAGCTAGAGGGCATAGGTAGCGTAAGTGTCTACCGTACCCTCCCAGATTCCTATGGAGGTTTATAAGTCAAGTGCCTAAACACTTTGTCTTGCCCGTTTGGGGCTACCTTTGCAGAGTTGCCACCCTTGAGATCAGGTAGAAAATTGTTGACGCTTTCTTGCCTTCTTCGTTGCTTCAACTTTGGTTGGGACTTGACCTACCGAGCGTGATGAGGCTTGGTTGGAGCCAATCTTGTCTTGTTTTGAATGCGGTGTAGAGTGGTTTCCGCTGCAATGGTGCTTGGTTGAACTCGTAACTGCTGCTGGTAGATCGATCTGGTTGTACCCAGCTTCTTCTGACGCCGACCAACCCTAAACTTCGAATGAAAAATGCAGCAGCTGCTGCACCCGCTCCGACCACCATACCACAACTTTTTGAACGGTGGAGAGCAAACTGGTGAGTAGCGGTTTCAAACTGGTGGTGAGCAGCACAGCATCGAGCTTCACCATCTCCACCGACTAGCACCGCTGGAAGTGCAATTTCGCGGCTAACCGTTTTCGGTAATCTCGAAGCAAGCACTGTTGTGCAACCAGTCTAATCTAGTAAAATGTATTCATTCCCTAAATTTGAAGGCTAAATTGCATTACTTCAGCACTTCTAAACACTTGCTGAAAACGCCCTAAACAGCAATCAACCTGCTAACTCACTCATTGTGTTTCAGCAGCTGGTTGTGCAGCATGCCATCACAGCAAGCCACAAGCTAGCTCAGTCCAACCACAGCACAGGGGAAGAAGCACAGCTTAGTCTGCCAAAATTGCCGCACAGGAGCGGGTTTGCATTCCTGCCGGTGAAAACCCTGCTGATCAACGACTCTATCTACATATGCTCATATTCCTCCGCTTCTCCGCTTCTCTCAGCTGCAGCTCCTCACCCCAAGTTGACCCAAGTCAGCTCTAGTCAAACTCCAGTCAAAGATCAACAAGAGTCAACCGAGTTATAGTCAGCAGTTCCGCTACCAGTATGCCAGCTTCAGGGAAGGCTTTGCCTCCCCGTCTATAAACCTCTGAAGTCAACCCAAGTCAACAAGCCAACTCCACGTCAACAGCTGTCAGCTTCCCATCACTCAGCCCCAGCAATACAACAAAGGGTCCACCCTGGAGGGTGGATAGTACAAACGAGGGGATTCGAGGGAAATACACCCGCCATAGGTCTTTCGGAGCAAGGCATTACAACCTTTTTTGCATCACTGTAGTCATAGGCATCACGCTAGTCGAATCCAGGTCTTCAGGAGGGAAATTACCCCCCAAGTTCAATCTCCCTCCCCCCCTGCTCCATTCGTTCCACATGCTGTTCCGCTTCCCCACATCCCCTCCCCCCTCCCCCCCTTCTCTAGTCACATCCCCTTTGCTGTTTCCCCACGCTTCCACCAGCACCCATGCGACCCCCAATTCGTCCGCTGCTGCTGCTTCTCAGTCTACTCAATATTGCCCTGCAGCCCCTCCGCTTTTCTGCCTCCCGCCGCTTCTATCGTACGCCTCCCGTTCATCAACTTTCTTGTTCTGGTCTCCTGTGCCCGCGGCCTTCCCCTCGGTCCGCCTTCCCCGCTTTAGCTATCGTCCATCGGGGGTTCTCGAGTTAAATAAGGGGGGAGGGGAGTGCGCGGGATGCGGGCAGTGGCGGCTTCCGCCGAGGGTTCCGCGGAGAGTTCCGCCCACAGTCGGGTATTAAGGTTGATTAAGGGGGAGAGGGGTGCGCGGGATGAGGGTAGTGGCGGCGTTTGCGCGGACCGCGGTGGGCGGGGCATGTGGTTTTGGCGGGGTGATGGGCGGAATTGCGGGAGATGGGAGGCAATGGGGGCGATGGACGATGGGCGGAAATGGGGGCGATGGGGGGGTGGGACCGATGGGGCGATGGGGGGATGAAAGGCTTACGAGTCGCAGCTTTGGCGGGGCGGCAGGGGTCTCGGCGGCAGATGCGGCAGGTGGATTTGGCAATAATGCGGCAGATGCGGCCCGCTCGCCGCGTTCCGCCCGCAAGGTCGTCTCCCGCCCGCGAAAGGTTTTCTTTGGGGGGGGGAAGAGGGGGAGGGGGATGCGGCAGGTGGCTTTGGCGAGGGGATGACGAAGGCGATGGGGGGAACGGGGGCGAAGGGCCTTAGGAGTTGCTCTCTTGAGTGGGGACGGTGGGGATGGTGGGGATGGTGGAGTTGGTGCGGGAAATGGGGATACTGGAGGCTTTAACAGGGGTCAGGTCGCGGCGGCAGATGGGGCAGGTGGTTTTGGCGGCGAGCCAGAGGTCGATGCAGTCGGCGTGGAAGCCGTGTGCGCACGCCGGCACCACCTTGATGCGCTCGCCCGCCGCGTACTCGCCCAGGCACACCGCGCACTCGCGCGTCAGCCTCTCCGCGCGCCCGGGCCTGCGCGGAAGGCTGTCGCACGAACTTGAGTCAATTGTCGCCGCGTTGTTTGTCGCGCTCACCGGTGCGACTACATCATCGTCGCAAAGAGTCGCAGAGTCGCTGGCGACGGTAATCGCTACGTGGTCGCCCGTTTGAGAACCGGAGTGATTTTCGGGGCAATTTCCCCCGCAATTCTCGGCGCACGGTGCGGGGTAACCAGAACGGCTGTCTTCCGCCATAAGAAGCCCGTCACTCCCTAGACCGTCCAACCCGTCCGAACCGCGATACGTGAACACGGGGAACGAGCGAATCGTGGCGCGGTCGAGCCCGGGAACCGCGGGCTTCTGGTCCATATGTCGCACCCAAATCACCCGCGGGTGCGGGCGGTCCGCCGCGGGGCCGCTGTCAAGATTAATCTCGAACCATTTCAGTCGTCGGATCACGCAGACGGCGACGGCGACGGTGAAAACCAGGATAAGGCAGACGGAGAGAGCGGCTGCGAAGGTGGAGGGGGAGAAGGAGCCGCTGGTCGGTTGATTCGGACACGGATGGAGCATCGACGGCTTGCACGCGTCCTCCATGGCAGCGGGCTGTGCGTTCGAGTCGCGACTCAAAAGTCACCTCGGCTTCTGAGCGTGCTTGGAAAGTCGTGTGAACGACGTTTGGAAGGCGCTTGAGTCGACTGAAACTAGATATGGCGGTGCCCACCAAAGAACGGCGGATATCAGAACTTGGATACTAGCGGCTACATAGCCTCCGTATCTGCGCTGCGGGAGCACAAACGGCGGTAAGAGTGCAGCCGCAAGGTGCGCCAGTCTTAGCTTTAGGAAAAGCTTTTCTGACAGCTGCGAAGAACGGCAGAGCAGGGCTGTCTGTCTCTTATCTTGAATCCAAGAGTAGGAGAGCAGAAACTGGGGTGTGGCTCAGGACCCTTGGACATTGAAGGAAAAGCTTTTCTGACAGCTGCGAAGAACGGCAGAGCAGGGCTGTCTCTCTCTCTTACTCTTCCAAGAGTAAGAGCACATTGAACAACCTTTGGAGAAAGGACGAGGCGGGACCAGCAGAGCCAAGAAGCCAGAGGTTGGCGGGCGGCGCGATCGGTCGGCGGAGGGACGAGATGGGAGGTAAAATTGCATTCGCAGCAGAATTGCACCTTGCATGCATGATGAAAGGATGAGGCGTGGCGGCTGGAAGTACAGTGTACTTTGCATGCAGCCGCAGGGCAAACCGTAAACTCGGTCAGGTGAGATGAGAAGCTTGGGTTGCGTTGCGATGCGAGTTGCGAGTGATGTGGTGGTGGTGTGGTGTGGGGTGGACTGGTGGAGGAGAGGAGACTCGGTTAGGGGGAAATGCATGGAGGGAAGCACGCTCGGCGGCGGTCAGGCTAGGTGCATCACAAAGGAAAGGGAGCTGACCGTAAAAACACTGAGTTTTGTACCAGAAAATGGTAAAAGTTCACTAAACATCCACTAAGCGTAGTGTACATGGAGGTCGAATGACTGGGGTTTAAAATTCACCTGAAGGAATCCTGCCCGAGATGATTCTGTGGCTTGGAGCAGAGCAGTGTTTGTGGCATGCGACGAGTCCATGTGCTCGCATATCCGTACGACAACCCAATCTTTTGAAACGTAAAACGGAACGGAACGAGCCTTATGCGATAACATCACGGCTTGCGATGCGACTTGTTGTACGACCGATCAATCCCGAACACCCTTGATCGCTTTGCCACGTCAACCCCAATCGAAAGTGGTCCCAGCGTCGCCTGAATTCATGGTTATGTACGGTCATCCACTTGGGCGAAGCATCCACTGGTCTTGATGGTACACTATCCCGTCCAGACAAATTACAAAAGAAAACATCATAGATTACACAAATTACGTTACAGTACTTATTCTCTTATGGTATCTTACCCATTACACAGATTTACAGTAAATCCACCAATTCCGTTCATGGCAT